AGCAAAAGTTGTCATTCTATATTAGCACAACAAGATAAAGCTAACAAGATGGACATAAAAGGGGATCGAATTAATCGAGTAGCGATATCAACATGAAACTTTAGGCTTTAAAAACAGAGCTTGAGAAGACAGAGCAAAAAGATACAAATGAGAGAGAACTGGGGTTAAAGTTCTGGAAGAGACAAGCCGTTAGTGCCTTTTGAGCCATATCACCCATAGCATCTAACCAGCAATTTCTGTAGCCATTCAGATCTCAATCGGTAATGTTTTGAAACCAGTTATGGTCAAAATTCCACTGCCTATCTGTATACACTATCAACAAAGGCTGAAGATCAACACCGATATAGAGAAAGACACTTAGTTGGAATACAGGATAAACGTTTTGTTGATAAGAAAAACAAAGACATCGGATTAGCCAAAACAAAAACAGATTTACATGAAACTTATGATCAAGAAAGAGGTTTAGGCTTTTAGATAGCTGGAAGAGCTTTGATGAAAAAATTAGGCTGATTTTGATAAATTTTTAACTAAAAGACATCACTGATAGGATGTTGAGTAATTATTGTGGCAAATTGGTTGAACAAGATATTGAAGACGGAAGAACAATTAGTTACATACAGCACTTTTTGTGACACAGTTGATACCAAGTTAACCACCATGCTATACAAACATGTTTGGAAGACCATTTATATCAACATCATAAAAAAAACATAAAACTATAAAATTTGTGCTTTTCGTGAAACTTCGGTCACAAGATGCGTTTGCCTTGGAAGATGAATCGGTCAATAGCGTTAAACTAGAAACAATTGGCTGAAGTAATATAGATATGCCTAAAATATTTTTGCTGGTTTAACTTCCAGACATTACAATTTCAAATACAAAAGATGTCAATAGACCTTCTCAAGATGATTGGCTGACACAGGCCCATCACCAAATATCAAGTTACTACTGGTTTTCTCCGAATAATTTGCCCAAAAACTTAAATTCATCAACAAAGGTAATTTGTTATGAAAAAACAGCAAAAAGCAAAGCTGATTAACACTTTAACGCATGAAAGTTGCAATTTAATCATTCACTAAAACAGTTAGATGACAGCATAAATAAGAGCTCTATGGCTAATGGTATGCTTGTTATGACTCCCATATAATGCTAATCTACATAGAGTAAGTTACATCAAAAATTTGGCAGACTTCATGAAGCGCCTTGAAGACTAGAATAGAACATCATGAATAAGCATCTCAAAAACTAAATAAGAAACTTTTTGAGTCTGAACATTTATAAGAATAATAACTTATACTATCATATAAGGTTGTTTTGACTATAAATACATTAGAAAGCTGCTAAAATGATAATCAAAGCTTAAAACTACCTGTATGTATTTTTTTAAACATTTATTGCTATCTATATACCTATCGTAACATACTTATTCATTTATTTATTTAAACACATATATATTGGTACAAAAGGGCACCAGATACATATGCGCCACACATAACATACTGAGAAATAGTCTCGCCGTAAAATGTCTTAACAAAATTAAAGTTTTTGAAAAAATAACTCTGCTGCATAATGAACAAAATTCTTTGCATACAGACTAAGAGTTCAACCATAAACCCACCACAATTGAAAATTCTACGGTGCAAAAGTGCCACGATTATATCAGCCTAAATTCCTGGTAAGTATGACTAGATGACAACAATGTACAGTGGAAAAACGTGAAGATTAGAAAAACTTAAGCAGCTAAAATTGATTATTGGTGAAAAAGACATTTATTTTCATCCATAATTTATTCTTAAGACAAATTGATAATGGCTATGAAGCTTAGCATTATATAAACGATAGTCTGTATTTCTACCTGGTATAATCCATTCCATTGAAAAAAATATTTTGAGAACGTGATTAAGTGGCATCCATATTCTCGTCATACTTACTTTTAGTGCAAAGAAGCGGCATAACTCGGTATTGAGAACTCCACCATCCCGTTGAAGCAAAATGACCTAGCCTCTTTTACAACCTTATTAGTTCATATAAATGAAAGATTAAAACAAACATGTATTGATACAAAAAAAGTAGTAAAGGCCCAAAAAAAACTTTATATCGATTTGTCACTATATAATTCACGCATTCACGAAGTTGAAAACCTTATTACGTTTAATTTATTGTATCCATTATTTAGTGCTAATATTATAGTAAAGGTGTTTCTGAAGAATTGGAAATGTGTACGTAGTACCGAGGTTCCGGGCCAGTTAGCATTGGAATACTTATATCTCTTGATACAGATACGGATATATGAAACAAGTAGCAGTAATAGAGCTGTTGGCAAGTCAGTTAAAAATTTTGTATGAAGTTCTTAAAAATATATGTCGCTTGTTTAAGGATACAAGGGAAGATACTATGCCACAACCGTTAATACATAACTTCAAGAACAGACTACTTGTAAGTAGTAGGTGTACCTAAAAAAAATTTATACTATGTTTTTAATGTTTGGTCATTCGCCTTGGAATTGTGCTAGAACTGAACTTGTGTAGGTCTTCTAGAAGATGCCCAAGGGTGTTTAAGATTCCGTAATTTAGTAAGAGACAATTTAGAGGTAATCTTTATTTTATAAGCTAAAGATCAAGTGGTTTACAGAGTTCCTTTTGTCTCTTGAATTTACGCCCATGAACTGATTTTATGAATAACCCATCATCTTACAAAATTTGACAGTGATGGTAAACGTAATAAATTTGGTGAACATTATCAATTAAAGTCATCTGTCATAGCTCAGCATCCAGATCCTATTCAGGCGTACATTAAACTTTTCTACCCTCTTGGTTTCTCAGCTTAGTAGACACTTAAAGTTTCTTGCTTCTATTCAAATATGGTATTCGCTTCTTATTTGTTGTATTCTGACTTCGATGTGTGAAGGATCTTGGTAATGACACCAACAGATCCTGGCCTATTACGAAGATCTAGTTTACTAAGAGGCCTGTATGGTATATTTACGGTTTCGCGAGTACCATGTCCTGTACACGATTTTCTTCACACCCCCTCATTTTCTCTTTATGTCACAAATCTACAGATAGAGATTCCTCAGTCGTGCCGAGACATTATCGACACAACATCTTCAATACTTTGCTCCAGAAACCATTAAGCTCATCACAGTACGATCTTGTTAGCTTGGTATGAATAAAGATGTAAGGGGGTGGGCATATTTTTGTGTAAATTGCCAGAAAACTGGGGTGGCTAGACACAATAAATGTCCTTTGGACTCAGTTCAACTCCCGAAGTTTTTTTCTAACATGTTCATCCTGACTTAGTAGGACTCATACTCAATTCGAATATATACTTTGATCTCCTAACGTGTGAGGACCATTTCACATGATGGCCAAAATCAGTACCCACCAAAAACATTACCGCCGAAACAGTGGCCCACGCCATAGTCTGACGATGGGTAGCAAATTCAGTTGTCCTCCCACTATCACTAATGACCGCAGACGCTAGTTCGAATCTGGGCACTTACACTGTCTCACTGAAGTGCTAACAAACACGCGATTCCGAACGACCATACACAAACCAACGCGTTGGTAGAGCAATTCCACCGATAATGGAAAGCTTCGCTGTCGCCAGTAAAACCTTCACAGTAGGCTGACACTTTTCTGCTACTGTTCCTCGGAAGTAGAAATGCAGTGAAAGCTGGAGCTGGATCGACTCCAGCACAATTTCTTTACTCGACGATACTCAGAATTTTACGGAATTTGTGGATCCTCCGTCCTAGTCAATGAATATGGATCTAAACTCCTAAATGAGCAATGCGTTCAGTTAAACCTGTCTGCAATCAACTGACATTTTTGTTCAATCTGATTCACAACACATCAAACACATTTTCGTACGTCGTGACTCGCCACGATGACCTCTCGATATGGCACAGGAAGAAACCTTCAATGTCCTGAATACTATAACCTTGATAAAATCGGAACTAAAAATAGTCAGCACTGACCGACTTAAAGCCGTGTATCTAGTAAGGAGCCTTATAATGATGATTTTCTTCCGGTACACTGAAAAGACACGTGCCTCACGACTACGAACCCCTTCAGATAATCAACAATTATGACGTAACTTCCCTTTTATCTGACAACCTGACGGAAACAACGTGATCTGAATGAATGACAGTATTTCAGGAACACTTAAACGAGTACTGTTCATAGGACACTGAGTACCTGGTTCGCTCGAATTTTTATATCCTGAAAAACAAAAACATACATTGTTTCACTAACATTCTCACACATATGTTTATACTTCCTCTCCCAAGAAACCATTCTACAAAATTTATTTTTACTGTACTCATGTTAACGATACACATGTATACCACTTTCTTCGTTTTTATCGTGTTTTACATCTTTACGTATGCACAGGCGTATTTCGAAATCCACTTACAATATCTATTTTTCTTTTCCAGGAGGTCTGGGAAAGATGAGAAACGGCATAAGAATGTCAAGAATCGAAGTTTTCATTGTACGTGTTTTTCATTACCATATTGTACCGGATGGCTCCTTATGGTAGAGAGAGGCGAACACATCCTGCTGAACATAGTTAGCTAATAGAGTGTTCACCAACGACAAGCTCGTTAGGTTTAAAATTCTGGCTGACCATGGTTTAGGGTTATTGCCACTTCATCATAGAAGGGCTGGCTGTAGTGGTAAATGTATCCTCTAAACAAGTGACGTATAACCCAGTTGGAGAGAAAAATCACGTTGCCAGGGAAATGAAAGTTTCACCCAATCAGTAAGCGACAGCGAGAATGCAATATTAAAAGCTCTGTATTTACAAAAGAGAAAAATATTAAGATATGGAATTACCGATAAATAATTGGAATTTTTATTAGAAATTTCAAAGAATGAATCAGGAGTGAGAACATTGGATTTAGAGCTAAGTTAAATTACCTGGTTCAATATTGCGATGAAGAAGTGAGAGCCGCTATCCTTCATGGCACTATGCTAGAACCGTCGATAGGTGATTATCAAGCACTAAAGCTTTTAGAGAAAACGTCTGACTAAAAACACATTATAGCACGCACGCTTGTCGACAACTTGTCAAACTTTCAAAATATAAAAAGGAATCAATCACAGTTAGCAATTACACCTGCAGGAAATTTCTTCAGAGATCAATTACTGGCTCAAATATACTAGAAGTGAAGCCTGTGAATAGGATCGAATAGTTATACATTTAATGAAGTATCTGTGCAAGATAAGTAGGTTTTTATGTTAAAGTATAATGGGGAATTATCCATAAACATATTTTGTACGATGCTACCAAAGTATTGATATCACTGCGCGATCATCAACTGTAACGTTACATAGTTGACAAAACCTTGAGGGTGGCTGTGCTTTTCAATATTTTACAATTGTAGAATGTTACCATAGAAAAATGCGTATAGCATTGTTTCTAAATATTCTTATGGTCCTGTTGCACGTTAGGCGTCCGAAATCTATGTCTTCCTTTGGTTAACCAAATGTAATTATTTTGTATGTTTTTGATTACATTGAAAATTCCTTATTAAAAGCTTATTCACCCTCTCTTTAGACTTCTAAATAGTCGTAATTCAACTCTTTCAGCGTAAGACGAGTTGTTTCCCATTATGAATTTACAAAAATCTGATAACTACTTCGTGGCTTGATAAGAAGAGCCTGATATTCGCTCCTGTCTGACTTTTGTAGTGGTATCTGACATAGCATATAATGCAGCCCAATATTATCGACCCATCAAGTAACCATTAGTTGCCACTGTCATATAGCTTCGGAAAAGTATCAATATTTGAGGTTATTTAGTTATTACGGGCAACATAACCATCTAACCATATATGACAATGATCTCCTTATTCATGATTCTTACCTTTCGCACTAAAAAGAACTTTTAGGTTGCATTTAATGCGTTGTTCTCTGCATAATTACCACACTCCAGTATCGTTGGTAAGAGTCGGCTTACTCCTAACGATCTCTCAGATGCTAGACTTTGTCTGGCAAAAACTCTAAAAGTATGATTTAAAGAGCTAAGTATGTCAGTCGTTGTCATAATCGTTGACTGGAATCTTAGTTACCAGGATCTTAGGCCCTCAGGCCTGAATTATTCTGATGGTTATCATCTAGTGAATCAGTTGACAACGTCGTCTGAATATACAGTGATTTTTCGCCATTATGTTTTCCAATCACAATTAAGGTTGTTGATTAAATATGTGTCCCTAGTAGTGGAAATATTTGTCGGGCTTTTTTACATTGTCTGTCTCACTAAACAATTTTGTTCCACATATTAAAATTATAGTTTTCTGGATTTTAAATATATAACTTTCACTTCCTCGCTTAACAGATCTGATCATATACTTCCATTTATAATTAATGACCTCCAGATTTTCATGTTTCTGCTTGCGTTCGATAGTAACGATTGGTTAGTTTCCTCAATTTTTACCACAAACCTCCCACCTGTTAAAAATTAATCATATTATCCAACATCACTCATGTACTCTACTAATCTTTACCACTATGTGCCTTAACTTGTTCTAGTTTTTGAGTTGAAAAACGCGTTGATGTCTTTGGCTTGTCGTGACTGAGTGATCTGTTATGCTTTAAACACAACTTTTAATTGGCAAACAAGTATCCTGTTAATGTCACAAGTGGTTCTAATTGAACAATTTTGACTGTCAGTCATACATCAAGACATTTTCGTGAGTTGGTTAGTCAAAGCAAATGTAGGAGCTAAACAGGTTGTTCACGGAGTGAAACGATATAAAGTTTTGAATAAACCTTGAGGTTGCGACGGATAATGTATGCAAATTAAGACTATGTAGTGTGTAACCGACAGCCTTATTGTCAAATATTTCAGTCCATTCTAATTTTGTCTGTAAAACCAGTGGTCATTATTGCGATAGCGTGTAACAAGTAAGCTTAAGAATTGTATTTCCATGTAATAAACTAATAAATGAGCTACAAACTCTTATGTTTCAGTCGGCAATATATATATATATATATATAACCAGTTGTTACAAACACTGGGTCACTAGATGGTTTCTTTTTTACGCTTATTTCATGCACGGATTGTTACACATATGTATTTCCTTGACTGATTTTCTTCACAAAATGATTTTAGTCCGTCAATAAACTTACAATATGTTTTCTCTTTACAGTTCCAGATACTTGTTTATTCATATCAGAAAAAAAAGTTCATTTTACTCTTAAAAGTATCTGCTACGGCAGACTAGACACTTGGAATTCGTCCTTTTAAAACGGCTTCAAAAATGAATGGATTTGTAAGACAAGGTGTCGTTCGTGATGAAAACGGTATAGCTTTATTTATTAGTTTAAATCTTGTCATATAGGTAATTTGATAATCCCCCCGACCCAACGACCCGATGGTACATGGAGGAAAGCCGTCCGCGTTAAAGAGGGATATATTCCTCAAGAAGAAGTTCCACTGTAGGTTATGTCTCTTTTCTTTGTTTGTACCAAGCTTCATGAATTGTCTTAGTATTTATTGTTAATTTTACGACTCAAAAAATATTTGGTGCATCTAAATTCTCTCCGTAAAATGACAAAAATGAAAATCTTCAAAATTAAAGGAATAAAACATAATTTCACCGGTAAATTGAAGTTTGGTAGCATTGAAATAAATCTACGAAGATATTTCCCATTAACTGAAATCTACCTAAATCTGATCATGTCTTAACCCCTGAAGTACGTGATCTGTCAAACTTAACCTAAATGAGTTTCTATATATCAGTCAAAGTCTACGGGCATTTTTAAATTGACACTCGGAAAATTATTCGTCTGTTGAAGATAAATTAATCTAGTCGACGAGTTTTCGGATCTTCGACCGAAGTATTCAAAGTTTTGCGAAAGTTTATGGAAGTCTGAATGCTCTAATTAGGCATCTACGGAATGAGAATAGGCATATTCACAGTGAACACGCACTCGTTATTCCATGATAGACTAATATAGGTTATCAATAATTAAGTAGAATTTGATGCCTATTTACAACTAACAACCGTCTGTGTTGTTACTTCATATCCGTTCTTTTTTATTCAGAAATTAATCATGCGTCGATAGCGTGAATATACACGCAAGATTACTGTTGTGTGGAAACGAACTATGCTTTATGTATCGAATTCATTCTGGTAGGCAGAACAATAGATATCCAAATTGCTTTGTTGTTGGCAACTTATATGCTTGTGTCCGCAAAATGACTTCTTAAACGAGTTCCTCACATACAAATTCTGCAACTTCTTGTTTCATCTGTCGGCGTTAGCTTTGAGATTGATTAATTCATTGACTAGTAAAAAGATTTTGCATCATATACGTTACGCTTTTTCTTTTGGACATCCAGTTACCGATCTTCTGGTGTACAAATCCTTGAGAAGAAATCACAGTTCGTCATCCCAGGTTTGACGAAAGAGGATGCGAACAAGCTAAAGCTAGAACGACAAAAACAGCCACAATCTGATACATCAGCATCAAACCCAGTTCTTAAAAAGAAAAAGTCTAAGAAATCGAAATGCAAACAAACTGATTTCCAATCTTCAGGTTAGTGCAGCAATTAATTCTTCAACTTACAATCTAGCCCACTTAATAAATTTGGTACCTGATCATTATATATATATATATATATATATATATATATATATATATATGCTAAAACTAGGTTTTTCATAACCAGCAGACGTTAGTATTTTCGATAACATATGTTCCACATACGTATTATCAACTCGTATGAAAATATTACATGGGTCACGAAATAATATGAATGTAGATCAAAGCCCCAGTAAAATCGTTATATAGATATACATTTAAACAGATAAACCAGCTTCAAATGAATCAATTGGATACTTCTGATAAATTGAAAATTCTTGATTATTAACCAACTGTTCACTCGTATTTTGAAGATCAATATTTTTTCTATCAGTAGAATAATAACGCCATACAGTATGAAATAACTATGTTGTAAAAAGCTAGGAAATAAAAATCCACAAAACCTTGCAAAATACTAAAGAGCGAAATTCAAATGAGGTTATAGTCAAAGCGAATTTCCATTTTTTTGAAGAGTAAATTTTGCTATTGATATCATTATAGCTGCTGATTTAGATTTCACAATCAAGTTTTCGAATCTTTATAATTTCACTGAGAGAGTTCTGATAAACTGCATAATTATTCTTCATTCAACGATATCATATTGCTAGATATAATATGTAATACGTTACTTACGATAAAACTTCATGTTCTTACCGATTCATGTGAATTTACCTGACTTCACTGATAATCTGCAATATCCATTGTTCCTATCATTTATGTCTAGTCGGTTCCTTATAGCAATCATCACCGCAAGTTACATGTAGCAAGATCTTAGATAAATACTCCATAAAGTATTCATTCATATGAGTCTAGTAAAAAAAAACGTGTTTTTATGTAATTCGAAATTGCTTCGATTTGATTTTTAGGAACATCAAAGCAAACAGAACTGGATTCACCAAAGCTTACAACTTTACCTATTTACTCTGACAAGGCAAACATTGAAATTCCAAGTGATGCAACCGTGACTACCACTGAAAATATTAATCGACAGCTTAGACGTGAGCAGAAACGATTACTCCAAATAGAAGAGATAGAGAAAAAGAAACAAGCTGGAGAGAATTTAAACAAAGACCAGCTGATAAAGCTAGGCCACAAACAAGCTGTTGAACAGCTCATTGAACAGTTGACGTTACTTAAAACTAACTGACGTTTTCTTGCCATTTTTCAACAGCAGAATCGATTTCATTTTTTGTACTTTTTCTGTTCATCCCGCTCCGCGTTGTTTCAAGTGTTTGTAAATCAAAGACAACAGAACCAAACTAGAAAAGATTAAGAATGCACTGATGAATTTATTTAATAATTAGTCCACTACCAATAAGCATATGTTGTTAGTTAATAATACCAAATCAAACAAACGAATGTGGTGTAAAGGCATTTGTGCATTTTCAATATATATGCTTTTTTACATCAGCGTTTTATAAACTTCATTTGTTATATGGAAAAATATGGTACTTTTAATATCTTTTACAATATGTTTGTATAATCGATGTAATATATAAATTATAATTATACTTATTTTGTTATATAAAAAAGTACTATTGTTGGTCGAAACAAAATTTGACAAGTGTGTACCTATTTAACTCAAAGCTTAGTTATAATTTCAAGAACGAATCATGTTACGGGATGCAGTTATTTTGTGCAATATGAATTGTATTTATGAAGAAAAAACAACTTCAGATTAATAGTTAGTATGTAGTTTGCTAACAGTATGAAATATTTTAATACTATTCTTGTCATGTTTTATGCATATTGTGATATGCAAATTTTGCTGTATATAAAATTATTGTAATCATAGAGAATTATATCACGGTGAATTTTATGCATTTTCTGCGAATTCAATATGAAGCATCTGAACATCAATGGTACGTCAAACAAAATGGTTGAAAGTATACGAGCAAATTAACAGATGCCTCTTATAAACGATTAAAAAACAAAATATCCCAAGTATTTTTGTTACACTGTTAAGTCTTGGTAAAGGTTAATTGACATAATGACCCTTGTTAGGTTTGATATGACAACTCATCAACTTTTTTCAATATGATAAGTGTCAAATATCATTCTATGTAACGTTTATACTCTGTATCTGCTAGGACCTATGTCCTGGTCGATTAACACGTGACAAAACCGTGAGTCAGAATATCGAAGTCTATGACCTTGTCCTTGTGCTAAACCAATGACGCTTCAACCAGCACTAGCAGCCTTGAGTGAACTGCGAATCCTTACTGGTCCTCAAATATAGTAGCTTCTCGCCTTTCGCTGCTAGTTGAGTCCAGAACACAATATCAGTCTCCACTGTGTGAATGATATACTTCAGAAATACGTAGTTTATATACAAGCAAACCAGATCGCATCCTATCCTAAAATAAAAATAACAGTTATACAAGATCAAGCCAAAAGTAGATGTATGGGAGATTGCAAATAATAGATTGCGAATAAATTAAGATTAGTAAGTCATACAATAGTGGCCAATAGGTCAAATTAAAGCTTATGATAAAAGGAATATAAATACATATAATCTACCTACTTAGTAACTATCTAATAAGAAAATATATAATAATAGTCCATGATTAATTCCTAACAGTTGCTATCCATTTATTCTTCGTTCAGATTTAACAGGTTTTTACAGTAACTCTATCTATCTTCCCGTGTGATATTTTGTGTTAAAATTAGTACATAAATGATTGTATTTTATGCCTGAGGACAAAGTGCCTTTGGAGAGCCAATAAATCATTATTGCACTAGTCTTTAATGTTCTCACTTTGCGTCGTGGGAATTGTAGTGGTTCCTGTTTCCTAGTAAAAACAATAAGATCGGGGAATTCCAGTAGTTACCGACCGTCAAACAAAAGCAGTAATACTGTAGAAACAACATAGTCAGTACGTACATAACAGCAACAATACGCGACATAACAGTTTTACTGCATCCACTTTTCAAATGTAAGTAAAAATAAGAGATAGACCTAAAATATAACGGTATTTTGTTTCTAAGATACAATGGAAAATGGATACGTCCACGTTGCGAACGTCCGTTCCAAGTCATACCTCTGGTTATAACTATAGTGGTCCCAAAGTGACAGATCCATTAAGCCCAGAAGATACTCGACATTCATATCTCTCCGATAACTTATTACCTAAAGTAACTTGGCAGTCATGAACTATGTATATTGTTAGAAAAAACCCAATGTAGATATTACCACTTTGGTGATAGTATGTAATGTGAAGTGAGTGGTTTGTTCGTGAAGTTTTCTCAGCACAAGTGGTTGAAATCTAGTTGATGTTTAGTGAGGTTGCTTGTCACCAGCGTTGCTCTGTTACATAGATTGTGTGCTCCCCGACTCTTAAGTTAGTCGTTGTTTTTTCCATAGGCTGGTATATTCAATCTATCAACATATATATCAATAAACACGCTACTTGTAGACATATTTTGGTGGCTTACTTCCTCCTCAGTGAAGCTTTTACTCAAATAGACATTCTATAAATAAACCAACTAGCCTGAAAAAAGTTAAACGTTATCAAACTGCTACATTTGAGCAACGAATCTGCACCATCTCATGGTATGCAAGTGAAAATATTTTACTACAAAAATAACTAAAACAAGCAGGCCTATTATGTATTCTGCATACAAAAAATTTTTAAAAATTAAAACAACGAAAATGATATATTCACATGTACTTTTTCGACTGTGAACATAATGTTTCTAGAAACCAAATCGCATGTCAAAAGCAGTTATATTAAATTGAAGTGAATTTACGGGTTACTGGTGTAAATTTGACAACACTTTTTTAAACAAAAAGGAGAAGAAACATTTCGAGAGGTGTACATTCAGTTAAATAAATTGTTGCAGTGGTAGTTTGTTTTCCTAACCGATATATATAAAGCAAATATTATGAGAAAAATAGGAGAGAAGGAGATACATATACATATCTTTTATATAATAATATCAAAATCATCACAACATACAGAGATTATTTAGTCGTGTGATAGGATGTAGAAGAAATACGTTTATAAAACAATAGCATTGCACTAATTAACACTAATACACATAAACAACTATCTTGAGAATGGAAAACGAAGAAAATGCTTTGATAATTTTCATTAGTTTTCGTTTGAAAAAAAAGTACAACCAGCTTGTCGGTGGTGACAACGACGCTTATCCTTTGAATGTTCTGGTTTATATATATATATATATATATATATATATATATATATAGTTTACCCATTATCTTTTCATTAAAACAGACAGAAGAATAAGAAATCAACTGAGGAAAATGCATGCAACAAATAAAATTCACCAGAAATTTTAAAAAATATAAACAAACAAAAGCCACAATAATTCAAAATGACAGTATGCACACGTATATAGTTAAACTTAAAATTTGTGTTGAAAGACCACCAAAATTTACATAGAGAGAAAAAACTTTGAGCAATAGTAATAAGTAAGAACAATAAAGGGAATACAAATAGGCAAATATTACATTGTTATAAAAAGCATGCATACTATATATGTATATACTGAAATTTAATAATTAGTAATAATGTTTCTTATGAAGCAGAAATTCTTTGTAATTCAACAAATGATTTGTACGTGTGAATTACTATACACAAATGCAATTCTTTTGTCTGTCAGTTGAAGAAGTAAATTGAGATCAATGAGATTACAAAATGTGTGTATATGAGACACTGGAGAGTCTGGTGTACACGTACTTAAAAAAAGTTAGTCAATAATGATATTCTTAATAGAATAAAACGATAGAATAGTAATGTAGGACGGATATTAGGAGGCTCGAAAGTACTTGCCGAAAATGGTAACTAAAACCAGTCAATAATTAAATTGTCACGTTATTGCAGAATGTAAAGAAAAACATTAATCGGTTGGTACAGCTATTTCAAGATATAATGGCACGTCGAAATGAAGGTGAAGATGTTAAGTTATCCAAACTGCCCCATTTTTTCTTGGTAAGATACTTTTGAACAATATCATGAAATTGATCGTCCATTACTCGTGAGAATGCCTAAATGTATGTTAATAATCAGATACTTTCAGTAAAATAACTGTGTAATCATAAATTTATATAATAATTCTCATTTCTACTCATTTTATTTCTGCAATACATTCATCAACACACTTTGAATTCCGAATCCTTAAAATGTTGATAATTTACTAAGATATTTAAGTCTAATCGTCTTTTACCTTTTTCTAGAGGTCTTAAAGAATGATGGCACACTCGAACTTTCATTGCACAATGAAATGTATGTCATAGACGGATTACGTCACAGCTTATTACGGGGATTAATTTATTTATTCTTCCCGAAATACTTTCATAACATCACGGTTATATAGTACGCCACAGAAATCGTGTACAGGTATTCGTTTGTCAGAGTATTACTTTACGAAGTTGAACTCAAGTACCTCGGATTAAACTGGACTGATAGATGCAACAGGTTGAAAAACTCAGTCACCTTAACAAGGGATTGCCACATGACAGGTGCTTCGGTTTAATGTTTGAAAGACACTTGCTTCAGGAAAGATTACTGTACAGTAGTTCTTAAACAAAGTGTAGTATGAAACACTAAAATATGAGCTTGATTCTATCTAACTTAAAATCCGAATAATTACTGAGTTCAACCATCATAATCAATATAGTACGACATAATAGAATAAACAAGTTCTAGTATATTGATATTATAATTTATTTATCATACGGTTTGAGAAATGTCATATTTTATACATATCGAAATGAAACATTATCTTACTAAGGCTTCATGTTTCGATAGTAATGTGATTTTAAAAAACACTGAATGTTGCTTATAAATTAAGACTACAAGTATATAGCTATTCGAACATCTGAGTGTTATTTATTAATCTCACAAAAAAAAGTTTTGAAACCTTTACTAGTTCTTATTTCATTAATTAACTTCTTTTTCATAGGAAATTGGATAGATATCTGTCACAGTAATTCCAAGTCGGTATACTATCCCCATAAAATCGTAATAATAAAAACTGTAAATATAATCAATATAGTTCATATACATACTTCAAGTTTATAGGCACGATCAGTAGATAATAAAGTTGGCTGATAACTAGGTCCACATAGTGATCTGATATCAAAATAATATTTCGCATAAACTGAACTAGGTACATTAATATTGAATTGAATTATTTCTAAAAATCGTCTTTCCAATTCATTTCTAATAAAAGAAAGTAATTTTTACAACAACAAAAAAGTTATCATTAAGTAATGAAATTGGTTTATTTAAAATTTAACCAGACAAAAAGTATGAACACAATAAGCTGACGAATATTTTGAGAAAATTTTATAGTTGAAATCATGAGTCAATTGAAGCTAGACCACCATGGAAAACCTGGACGGGACGAGACTGATAGGTCCTGGGTTCGAGTCTCGCGAGGAGGGATCATGAATGCGCACTGCTGAGGAGTCCCACAATAGGACGAAACGGCCTTCCAGGTTTTCCATGGTGGTCTAGCTTCAATTGACTCATGATTTCAACTACAAAATTACTGAAATCTCCACAAAAAACCCCTTCTGATTTTGAGAAAATGTTTATCAAAGGCAACAATTAATCAAAACAGAAAAACGGTAAATTTACGAATAAATTCAGAATGTTTACAGTGGATATATATCCAAAAAACTAATATTAACAATTTTAGTCATTTTTATGAAAAAAATCTACAAGTTTCCATTTCTGTAGATAATCTAAATTTGAACTCAGTAATTCTATGTTTGGATATCACTTTTTTAGATTTAACCATTATGAGACTTCATTTTTTGAATTCCCGTGTGTAACAGTCACAGTAGGACGATGGAAAAGAAAATGGATTACGTACAACTCAACGACATGACACATATATTGTACACACTAGACAAGTCACATAATATCTTAGGGTTGTAAGTTAGATAAAATTATGAATGAATATAAGTAAATAGATTACTCAGTAGTCACTATTCGCATGTTCATGGAGTTTTCCTATCTGTAAGTATAAATGAGCTGTAGGTACTCTAATCGGCTTTCGACAAAAACAGTTTCTTATATAGTTTTAGGTTTACCCTCCGTCTAGTTCATCTGATTAGGTGTCTAGGTATGTGAGCAGTATCCTTATCAAATCACAGATGATAAGAGTATACCAAAGTTACAACTGTTACGTGTGGTATGATGTCTGAATATTTGAAACACAAATAGAAATAGCACCATAGAATCTTGAACAAAAAAGTATAGGTTCAAGTTCTCAAGTAATGGTATTAAAATTTAGTGAATCGCTGATAGATGTTGAGCCTCTCCACAAAGTTGGCTAATTATGCATAACTGTTTAACAAAGTTTGAAATATTATTTTCTATAAAATTGAGGGCTCTAATCAAAACATTTGACCAACAGTAACTGATCTTGTAGACCATTGGTATGTTTTAATCTCATTATTCCTAGTTTATTTCCCAACCGAATCCTTAATTTAGTTAGTATATGAAACTTTAAATACAGTAGAAGAAAATTAGATATCAAAAGGCATTGAGTTAAAAGAAATTTCATTTGCATATATCAACTCCACTGTACTTTAACAAAATTAAAAATTTTGAATATATATATATATAACCTGCTTCAGTTTGGGCACCTGGGCAGTATCACGGCCCTCACACAAATCAAATGCGATTTGTGCGGCGCATATTATATATATATATATATGGAGAGAGAGAAAGCAAGAAAAATCCTATCAGATATTACATGTTCTATAATTTTTTATTGAGTGGAGTCAGGTGCTTGCAGCTACAAAGCGAATTTTTAGCCTTTTTGTGGTTTATTGTTCAGCAATCACAAATAGTACGAGTGTAAGAGTTTAGTAAATTCTATGTGGTGTTCAGCATTCAATTCTAGTCATCTATACACATTCAAACGTCATGTTAAACTCAGTAGATATTTCAAAGATATCAGTATTAAAAGAAATTGTTTTGTTCACTATTCTAATAAAAATAAATGTACAATCGCACCATATACTAAATAATTAGTATCTATGATGACTTTATCAGTGTTACAGATGAAGCAATTGTAATTAAAGATTTGAATTTGTACACGTATGATATATGATTAACATTTTGATAACAACGTACGTTATCAAAATCAGAATTTTTGCTAAACTTAAGTTGAACAATTAAAAGTCTGAACTAAACGCCTGATAATTTTTGTTCAATGAATAGAATTACATATGTGAAGAATAAACTTTCAATAACTCAATCTTCATTTTGAATCAGACTGTATTTATTACAACTTGAAAAGTCAATTATTAGTATTACAAATTCCTATGTAATAAATGTGACTCAAGGTCAAAATAATGATCTATATTTTTGTTACTGATAATCATCATCTAAGAGATATAGAATAGTCAGCAAACAAAAATTTACTAATTTGTTAACAGATTGATGTTAATAAGTTCAAAATAAGATGGAATTTACAAACGATTCAATGAAAAAATGTGCATATATGTAGAGAGAAAGAATCAATCAATAAATCACAAAAATGTTCACTTAGTTAATCATCACTAAGAAACGAAAGTGAAAGATATTATTATCTACTTAATGAAGATTGTTGCACAATTTGCGTACTTCATCTTTATTTCATGAGATCAACTTTAATGACAAGTGCGTATTATGAAGAAAGTAAAATTTTCTTTCAAATAAACGTTTAATTTGAAAATAGTGTGATTAAAATAAATTGAAACTGTCAAAAACATGATCCATATACATTATTATACGTAGGCTGGTAAATCCGTTTTACTAGATAATATAGTTGTGTAGAGATTATTAGTTAAAGTTAATTTCCATCTGTAAGGTACATAATTTGACCAATATGAAAACTGAAGTCATATAAACTTTAATCTACAAATTCTACAGTACATTAAACATATTCTATTCAAAACTCCATATTATTGATAATACATATGTCGTCTATATCGTTTAAAACATCTATGGAAGTCCTTAGAAGTCAGGTTCTTTAGTTATCACATTGTTTTATACAATTTTCTCAATTCCAAATAATTTATTAAAGTCGTGTGCACGAACCATTTTCTACCACATTCAGTCTGCCAATGGCGACTGAAACTCATAAGAGACTGTAAGGATTCAGTGTTTCACTAAAACCGGAGATCGACAGTTGTTTTGGTCTTGTTTTGGTCCTGCTGAAACCTTAGATTTACTTGAGTACCGTTGTTGTATACAATGCATTATTTCAATAAACAAATAATAATTTCCTCATGAATTCGAAGTTTTTCCCGAGTTTTATTTCGGGCATTCATTCGACAGGGAATGTAAGTTAGCTGGTCATCATAATTCACTAAAAATGAGTTGATATTAACTTCAAACTGTTGTCATCTTATATATTCACTTCAATACAGTTCAAGAAAAAAACTACTATTCATTTAGATCACTCAGCATTCATTTTAGAACACTGGTAACAAAATAACTTCGAACAGATTGAAATTAACATAGAAAGAAGTTACTAAGTCTCATTAAACAGTATAAAAGGTCTCATTAAAAAAATTGGATAACAAAGAATATTACAGAGAACGATCGCTATTGATAACTTCTTTATCAAGCTCTACAATTATCAATCCAAAATTATTATTAATATCACAATAATCCATGTCATACATTGAAAATGTCAAATTTCAACTTTAATATTTTGTCTATTGTATTATAATCATAATAATTTTCAATTGATAGTTCTAGAGCCTGATAAAGAAGTTATTGGTAATGATCATTCGCTGCAGTATCTTTTGTTCTCAATAAACAATGAATATAACTGTAGTACAGATCAAGTCAGTCAGTCGCAACGTAGAACTTAGTACGTATGTATAACGGTTCAAGTTGCTATACTCCATTAGTACAGAGATGAAATGGTCAGACGAAATACCAAAATAGTAAAAGTAGTATGGATCAAGGATGGTATAATGAGTTTCATGTTACTTGTAAAAACAATATACACGCTTACACTTCATGTATATACATAATGAAACAGTGATTCATGTCAGGGGTCAAAGCATTTAATTACTATCCTCATATTATTTTGACCTCATTTGTTATAATTCTATATGACAATTTGATAGCTATGGTTAACATTTGATTAAATGAATAATTTAGAATAATAAAGTGAATAACTCAAATACATCTGATTCAATTACAAACTGACTGACGTAAAAGCCAAGAAATCTAAACATGTAACCCATAAAATAAGTTATTTTCAATGATACACTTTATCAATGTATTTGTTAACTAAAAATAGTTTATGCAAAGTTAATAGATTGATAACTAACTGTTGAAATCAATTGACATAATGTTTTTTAATGATAACTTACTTTATTCAATGTAAAATTATTACTTAATCCCTTTTTTATATAATCACTATTATCATCCATCAGGCACTTACCTTAGTTAAGCAACCAGTGAAAATCAGGAAGCATTTGTTCTATTGTAAGACCACTGGTTACGGCTGGGGTTCAGCCATGTCGGGTGTGAGGCAGTTACCCACTGAAGGCAATGGGAGATGGTTGTATAATATCGCGAATCGGCTGAAGTTAGATATCTAAACCATTGAATAAAGGCTAGGGACCTGTCTTGAGGCCTGAATATCCTAGGATGGATCATCAGTGAAGTCATTAATCTGTACTTTCGGGGGTTTTTACAGTAGGATTGGGACCTCACAAACCCCTATATAAATAGCATCAGTGTCAATTAGTACGTTTTAACTGTTTATTATTTAGGATCTTAATTAAATGAATTGCTTAGAGATCCTCATCATATTAGAAGACTAATATTTGAACGAAGAATATTCTTTTCGATAAATTCTCTTCAGGTTCTACAATTATATATCCAAATTAATAATCCGAAAAAATGGCCAGGTTAAAGGCAAAAAAAATTTACATGCTCTAAACGGTGTACTTTGCCTTTAACCTGGCCATTATTTCGGATTATTAATTTGGATATATAATTGTAGAACCTGAAGAGAATTTATCGAAAAGAATATTCTTCGTTCAAATATTAGTCTTTTAAATGAATTGCATAATTCTACTACTGCTGTGATGTTCATCTTGATAACTTTACCTCGCTTTCCACTGACCTACACTGATGCAGTTTTGTCAGGTTCTTACACTGTTTATGATTGGTTAAATGACTTGTGTAAATACATTTTCCTAATGTTCAACCGGCAAAATTGAAAGCTGACTTATAATTACCATCAATTGCGCATGTATTCAAACAAAAAAACAATATAATAAAAAAAACTGTGATTTGGCCAAATGAAACCACCTATCTATTAAATGTATATTTGTGGATACCAAGTCGGAATTAGGTTTGATACTGACCAAAGCAGCCAAATATTTATACAGAATTATTTTGAAAAAATCTGTTCACTTTACAAATTCTTGTATTGAGAGATAGGGACACAGAGAGAGCAATGGGACGTACAGTTTAAGAATTAGCATATTCCATAAAATTCGTTCAAATTTACTGTTTCAGATCTGTGTGTACACTCGTACACGCACATAAAACAGGCGGGATCAACACATTGGGCGGAGAAGGGAAATAAAAATGAATGAAAAACTACAAAATAATAAAAAAATCACTAGGTTTTAATAATATTAAATTTAGTTGGCAAAACTTATTCGTTTGTCTTTGGTGTCTGAATTTCCCCATTAATGCTTAGAACTGTATTTGATCAGTCTCTTATTGGGAAATGTGCATCCTGTGTACATTGCCCTCATATTGTGATTAAGTCACAAACATTTTGGGCAGATGGATGGGTGGCTAGTAGTGGGATGGAGGACACGGGTGTTGACCTATTTGGGACGCGTCAGCTTGATGTACTTGCATCCCACAGTTGATGTTCACTCCGAGATTACGGAACTCAGTAGCTAAGTGGACAATGTGATGGCGTTTGAAACGAACGGTACTCGGTTTGAGTCCTAAAGTGAACGCCAACTCCAGGATCCAGGTACACACAGCTGAAGAGTCCCAAATAGGTCGAAACCGGAGTCTTGGATTCCACTGTTACCCACTATCCATCACTGCCTATACAAATAAAAATAGTTCATGTAAGAGATTAACACTGCTATTACTATTACTTAGCTAAAAGCCTCTTTTTAATTTCCAGTCATATGATTACAGAAGGTTTGTATAGTTAAAATCTCTGTCTTCTTTTGAAAACAATAGAAACTTTGTAAGATTTTATTAATGAGGAATTGATTCTATTGTTATTAGTAGTAGTGATATTAGTAAAAATCCAAACATTGCTTATTCATTGGTCATTGCAGAGCATCGTACAGTGATAATAATAATTCAAAGGTCTCTTAGTTAATATACTGAATTCTTTTCTTTTTCCGTTCAATGTTCTTCATTCGTAAAACAGATAAAGTGAATTTATTCCATCTATATGAAGCTAAATGACAAATTTAACCGAATATGAAAACCTGGATATATAGCAGACCAAAAAGAAAAAAGAAAATGGAATAATTTAAATTTGATATGAGTGTGTGTGTGTGTGCGGTTGTGTACTTTTGTTTCAGTCAACATTAACAAAAGAACAAATATATATATGTATAATTACTACTAGTGACCGGTATAATTGTTTTCTTTAAAAAAGATTTGATATTGTCAATTTCTCATCATAAAAACAACACCATAATACAACATCAATGCCTATGTAATACACATACGAAAGAATTTTCATCACAAGATAACCACTTCACTTTATTCTTTCATTTTTCTCTCTTGTATACACATAAACAGATAAATCCAATTCATCTGTCTACAGGATTTCTATTTTAACAAAGAAGTTAACTTTTGAAATCAAAGCGCATTAAATTAAAAGATGAACGTTTTAAACAATAATAAAGGAAATTAGAAAAAAAAAGAGATAAGAAAGAAAAGGATAGTTAACGTTATTTTGATTTATTGAGTATTGATGAAAAGAAATATTTAAGTTATAAAAATTGGAATATTGATGATTAATGATAGAAAAGTAAGGTGAAAATAATATTGCTGGAAAAACTTCCAACATTACTGTATGACATTTATTATTACATCGTTAATAATTCAATAGAATGTATAGGAAAAATAACGTCGAATTGTGTTTCAGTTGAAAGTGACATTTACATTTTTCGATAAACACTAAATAAATTTCAGTGGTGAATTTTAAGGTATATTACATAAACATAAGATTTGATATCAAATGGTTTGAGACAAATGATATAAGCCTTTAAACTTAATTTACATACCAACAAGTACTTATTATCAATATGTATAGGTAATGTTTAGGGAAATAACCCACTTATTGTTGGGCCTCAACCCAGGTCATTCAATATAACAACCGCTAAGAGGTTTGGCTGGAGAATGATCTCCTGTGGGACTGAGATGATTAAAGCAATGAAACTGGTGTGAACTTAATGTTGTCAAGAGGAAACAAAATATATGTGTATTAAACCAAAAAAGTACATAGTCCGAAACTTACACATCATCAACTTGCATATCTTTTAAAATTTGACAGTAATCTACATTCCAAACAGCTTGATCATCCCAAACTTTACTAGCCAGTACTATAGCGCATAAAACTATTCTTTTCCAAGAACTTGGTGTCAATTCTGTCTCAGCACTAGTCAAAAGACGTTCCAAGTAAACCTATATAATAGATGAGATTTAAAAAATTACTGATTAGCATTATTTCTAGATCGTGGTCTTCAAAATTTAGCAAATATCTGTGTTGAAAGCAATAACTGGGCTTCATGAAAAACGAACCACAAGTGTTAAAATTTTTATAATATTGACGATCGAATGTTTTACAAATTCAAGGAAACAAATAGAAACTTAAGTGTTTTACAGCTTCAGTAATCATTCTTGGACGTGATTAAAACATGAAGAGCCCGATCCGACTTAACTGCTATTTCCACACTACTAACTAAATCGATCAATAAATTTCTTTGTTAAATTTAACCAGAGAGCAGTTGAACTTCGAATGCTAAGTGTACGACAAGACAATAAGTGATAACCAATATCATTCACGACATCACTTTGTCGAAAAAGAGAGGTGAAATAACCACAGATGCAAAGATAGTATACTCTTTTCATCTACAGATAGTGGTCACTAGCGTAAAATAGCTATCCCTTAGGCTTTGGACAAATCAACAAAACGAATCCGTATTCTTCAAATTTGATGGTAATATACTCTCATAGCGCATCAATCGTCGATATACTTTTAATGGCACTTGAGTGTATTTTGTTGTTCTTCTATACTTTTTTCATGTTTCCTATATTTTTATCTCTTTTGATTAACAAAAACTTCTCATGAATGTAAACTCCTCTTGGATTTATAAGTTGTTGTAACGATCCAACCTTACAAAATGTTATTCCTAGGCTTTTAAGATATCATGATCCCGCGATATAGATACATGGTGTCTTTTTAACCCCATATACAGGACATCAGCCTAGTTGTCCACATGAAATTAAATAGTCAACGTTGTGAACCTACATAATTTACTCTTCAGACACCTAAAGAACAGATAACAAATCATGGTTTAGTATACGTACAGCATTAAGTTTGAAAGTGGAACTATTACTTTTAAACTGAATTCTAATGTAGTGTTTTAATGAATGTCGCTGACAACATTCAGAAAGTTCTAGTTTCGAACATAATAATCTGGGTGACTCTACATTCATCACACGCTTTTGGAGACATGGTAACTTACGGCCATGGAACGTAACAGAACCGCTGACTGTACCCAAATGAAATCAACTTGTGACGAATATAACCTACAAATTAAACCTATTTGCACAAAACTCTTTTAACTAAATCCCAAATTCGCGAACTGATAATCATACAAATATAATAATAATAATAGTAATACAAAAAGTTCAAATATGGGATTAGATAGTTATCTTAAGTTAACCATCTTGTGTAAGGTCTAATGCTGTCATCTAGTTGTCAAGTCCTAACAAACGAGATGGAGTTATTTACGTAAAAGGAAATCAGTAGTTGAATTTAAAATGCTTCAACCGATAAGCTTTGTTGTCCCGATTAAGTAGTTAATTATATAAAACGGTTTAAAATAATCTTAAATGGAGACTGAACGTTAAAGTCTTGAAGTCTATACATATGTATATTTACTTCAGCATATTCAATAAAAAATATTATTCTTAATTATATTTCAAAAATCAGATATATGTATATATGTTTTTGATTCGCTAATTTTTTCTCCAATGCAATAAAGGCACATATTTATTATGCGCATAAATACAGAAATATTTATACCAGGTAATCATTCAAACTACTATATGACATACCATAGTAACAATTGCACATTCTGGAGAAAGCTGGGCCATTTGGAATAAATTACGAATGAACCGATATACTGTTTTCAAATCTGGATCACGTGTAGCATAATCAAAAGGAACTGGCTCATTCTATACAACAACAAAAAAGAATTGTTTTTAACGAAATAAAACTAACATGAAATATTTCAAATAGCTTAGTTCTAATCAGTTCATCGAATGAAAATCTCTCCATTCTTGTTTAACTTTATGGTAGACGTTCCTTTAGAAATAACACTTTCTTTATCTAAATTTAGAGGGTTTGGACCTCTACCAGGAGACTCAATTGTTGACTTAGAATATGCTGATAACATGGTTCTATTTGATCAAGATGCTGACAAAATGCAGTCTTCTGACCACTATAAGCAACTATGTAGGCATGTTCGGGAGGCTATTCCCCCCCTCGAAATGCAAAATTTTACTTCAGGATCGAGTTGCATCGGCACCTGAACTAATGATAGGGAGTGAAGTAGTTGAGCGTGTTGACCGCTTCACTTATCTTGGGAGTCTCATCAGCCCTTGTGGTCTGGTGTGTGACGAAATCTTAGCACGGATACAGAAGGCTCGTCTAGCTTTCACCAACGTGCGTCATTTATGGCGTAGGCGAGATAACCGTCCAGCAACAGAAGGACGGGTTTACTGCGCAACACTTCGTTCCACCCTACTTTATGGCAGTGAAACATGGCCGATAAGAGTAGAGGATATTCGTAGGCTACTAGTATTCGATCATACGTGTCTTCGAAGCATTGCTCGTATATCCTGCGACCAACGAGTAAGTAATGTAGTTTTTAGGAACCGGGTACTAGGTAAGGATGGCAAATTGATTGATGAAGTAGTAAAACTTCATCAGTTGAGATGGCTGGGACATGTGTTACGTATGCCTGGTCACCGACTGACCCGTGTGATATTTTATGGTGAAGGAGTAGGTTGGAAGAAAGCTTGGGGCGGCCAGACGAAAACGTGGCACAAATCCATGAAGTCATTGACAAGTGGACTGGGCCATGTTGGTAGGTGTAAACTACCTGGTTGGGATTCGCGAGATGATAGCAACCGATAGTTAGAGACCTTGAATGACATGGCTCAAAATCGTTTGCAATGGCGCAGGTGCATCCACTCTTTGTGTTCTACCAAATTCTAATCTTCTGAATTCTTCATGTCCGTATCCTTTTTCTCTTTCCAAATTTACTTCACTGTATTATACTCCTTCAATAACATCTTCAAACCCTAATCTTTCCTATTACTGCTTATATTTTTACTACTTCTACCACTATGGGATTTGAATAGACAACTGCATCTCTGTGCTAATGTGATATGGCAACTCAAACTGATGTACGTATGTACGGAGTTCTACGTTGTGACAGACTGACTGACTGACAAAGCCTGAACTGATAATGGGGGATGAATTAAGTGTGTTGAATACTTCACTTATCATGTATTCAGATCAACCCCAATGGAATGGTATCTAAAAAATCTCAGCAAACATTCAGAAATTTCTATTAGCCTTAGCTAGCTTACATCATCTTTCTATCGGTTAGCGAAGTGGCGAGTTTACTGAGTGGCATTCTGCTGTTTTACTCCATTGGTGTGACAAATACCAATTAGGAAAAGAGGATATTTGTAGGCTGCTAGAAGTCAATCATAGATGCCTCTCTAGCCTTAATGGTGTAGTGGAGAACAATCGAGTGAGTAATCCTAATATGTTAGCAGTAGGGTATAAGATGAAAATTGGGAACCAGTCAATTAGGTTATGAATCTTCCACAACTGAAGCTGTTGAGACACATATTACGTATGTTTGACCGCCATTTGCCTTGATAGGTGATGTTTATTGATGTAGGAGGAGTCTAGAGGGAAGCTGGAGGTGATCAAACCAAGACGAGACATCAGTCCACAAAGTCAATGACAATTGAACTGAGTCATGTTGGTAAGTGCAGACTACCTAGCTTGGTTGGTAAGCGAGTGATTTTTGTAACCAATATTTAGAGAGTTTGAATGATGTAGCTCAAAATTGGTTAGAATGACCCAGGTTAATTTACTCTTTGTATTCTCTTGGATCCTAATTTTTCTAAGTTATCTTGAAATCGCATTTAATCGTCTCATGAATTCCTATTTTCTAAAACCTTATATTCTATGCCTAGTCTTTCTTATCACCACTAATACTCTTACTACTTCTATTACTCTGAGATTTATCTTAACATTTTTACCTTGCCAAGCTAATGTGGTGTGGCAATTTGAACCGATGCACATGTGCTTCAGATTCCATGTTGGATTCGACTATCAGTAAGTTTAACGGTAAGTGTAAATTAATCTCTAACTTTTGATATTTAATGCATATAGTTCAAATGGGATTTCGCGCCACATAGAACACGCACTGCATAAAAATATTTAGTTTAAAAACAGGATATTAAAATGTTTATGACCAAGACGGTAACTAAAAAAGTGATCCGTTTAAAATAGACATTTATTGCAAACGACAACCACTACTTTATAAATGTATGTCAAGTATGAATTTTTTAAAATTTAATTAGAAGATACTTTTTATCACTAAATAAAGTCTGTTAGGCTGATATAAAGACAATATTGAATAGGTGGTTTACACTTAGTTTTAAACAATTATATAAGTGTTTTGGAATCTCTCAGGATTACCTTTAAAGAATCGAATTTATTATTTTTTTTAAAGTGTAACACTTGAGAACCAAATAAGTCTTCATCTCATTCATGAAGTCCCATATAGAATTTAACTTTCACACTGTTACAGTTGCTTTATTTTCAGGATTATGCTATAACTATAAAACGGGCTGTTAACATATTTCATCATCTATTCTTGAAGTGCAAAGCTCTGTTACAAAGTTAAGTCTTCGTTCTTAGTACTTGTGTATACATGTCATCGTGAAATGTTATTATGTATCAGTTGTTTGATCTACCCAGTCATATTACATTCGTCCTTGCATTGCCAGTTTCTCTCTGGTCGTTTCAGCAGTTCACTAACGAAATACAGCAGAATCGAACATATCAGGTCTTATGGAAAATGAATTATCGTCGATCCATTGAAGAAGTATGATGGTATGTATTTAACAACTTCTGTTAATTTTAAGATTGGATAAGTAAAACAATTCTCAAAAAGTGGAAAAAAAACAAATATTATTAAGTTCTCACGCAGTGACTTAATCGCAACTACTGATGACCAGGAATATGAAACTAGATTTGGAGAACGTGACGTTTTTAAAAGTTTGGAATAACAATGAAGGAATTAGTCAATGTTCCCTAGTTTATAGTCGTTTTTCAACTGCGTAAAATCTCGATTGAGACTGTCAGAACTACAAGATTACAGGTAAAAAAAACCTTTGTTTAAGCAGCCGGATAAAATAACTAGCTTTCATCTGAATACACGCGTCTCCGTAGTCGAGAGCACTGACCTGTACATGAATATTGAGTTACATTAATTAAGTACTTTTAAATCAGAATAAGATAAATTTATTTACAAACTAAAGATAATGAAAGAAAGATCACCTGTATAGGATGTAACGACTCATCGAATATTTCAATCATAGGATCACAAGCAATTTTATGATTTCTATGCTTAATCTGTAAATAAATTGCTTGAGCTAATGCGCGAACAGTGGATTTAGGATCTGGTCTAGTTACAGTTGAATCATGCAGCCATATAGTTGATGTAGAACTGGAACGATAAAGTAAAGGAATGGTATTTTGACGAGTTCGTGGAACCTGTAATACACATAAAGAAGAATATACAAATATAACATTTTGGAGATTTTTTATCAAATAAACGATAACGTTAATTTGGAGGAGAGAAGTAGCAGTAGTAAGTAATACTGAGATTAGTTTAGTCTTTATATCTTTATGTCAGTGTATGCATTATTTTGAACGATTGAATTATTTACACGAACTGATAAAGTAATGTAACAGTTTTAAAGCATGAAATCTTGGAATGATACATTGATTGAGAAGTCATAAAATTAGTTGGAATGAGGAAATTGAATAAGTATCGTATAAAGATAAGAGACCCAACATATTTGGACCGAAAAGAAGTGAAATTTCTCAGTGTCAATATGGTGAAGAGTTTGAGCTAAAACATACATAGCCACAAATGTGTCTAAATATATACCCAATTTAACAGTTCAATGCCTTAAATGGTTTAATAATTTCGTATAGGCATATAAATATTACTGTATATTAAAGTAAAGCCTGATGAGGATCTAATCGAAAACAATATTGTTCGCTTATATATTTTGTTCCAAATCACAATATGGAGAATTTTCAAATTTTGAAGTTCAGTGTTCATCATAACTACTAACAAATATGAGCCTTGGCAACCAAGTATATGTCTGTGAACTCTACCATAAGCTACACCTTTTATGTAGGGGGTTAGTGATAATAAACAGGTGTTTAAGTTGAGGTATGCTGAACAGATTTCAGATAAGTAACTTCAAAGTTAATATTCGAACGTTTTAATCACTAACATAGTAACTAATTCATACAAAACTCAGACTAGGATGATACAACTTGAAACCTTTCACCTTCCAAACCTATTCTTACTTCAAGTAATCTAAATCTTTTAAATCAGTAGAAAATACACATAATACGACTTAGCAGTCACGCCCATTCAATAAGGGTAAACATCAATACGCATCTGTGACGGACGTGTTCACCATTCCTAATATTATAAGCTTACAGCCCACTAAATCTATAAGTGCCGTTACGGTCATACAGTTTTTTGTTCTTATGCAGTATTATCGAAGAGTATAGCAAAAAAGTACGTTTTATTACATAAACACAAGTTTATTTTGACAAAAATACACATTCCATTAAAAAATTATTATGCATACAACGTAAATATATACAAGATAGAAACAACTGAACAAATAAAATATTACATCGTAAAAATCATCAAACATGAGAGTAAAAGGTTTTCAAATTACAATAAATTAGAGAGATACATACTCAATTATCAACTTACACTACGATCGTATTTAGTTCGAATTTCACGAAGTTCTATGGAAATAAAGGAGAAATAATGAAATCGAAAGTAGAAATCTTTTTCTTCCTAAATTTAAAAAATAATACTTCAACAATGATATTAACAAGTGTCATTAACAAGGTTTGACTTGATAATTTCAAATAAATTGAGCAATGAGTAGACTGTTATCAATAGAAATAATCTATTTCTAATATCTTATTGAGTAGAAAATTTAAATTTTTAAATTGTCTGACGTTTCATAACTCAGTGCAAGCCACTTCTTCAGAGGATAAAAAACAAATTAAATTAACCCATGTTTAAATAGTACAAAGGAAAAAAGTAAGAATATTTGGTGTGATCAATTAAGAAATCCCTAAAACTGTGCTTAATTTCAACCTTATTTGCTTTTAACGGAATATTATACAAGCAAATAAACGGAGTAGCAATGAGATTCCACGTGTCCCCGATTGTAGTCAACCTGTTTATGTCACATATATAATCAGATATCTTCTCCAATAACATTAAACCACGAGTTTAGTTCAGATATGTAGATGATACTTTTGTTGTCGTAAAAAAGACTCATCTAAAATATTTTTCTAAACTGATCAATACTCTCTCGTTTCACATTAAATTTATGTACGACAATGAAAGTGAACACGGTGAGCTGCCATTTTTAGATTGTTTAGTTAAAAGAAATCTAAGTGAGGCTCTAAATTTAACCATCTACCGAAAACCAATGCACTCAAATCGTTATATCAACTTTAATTCAGGACATCCATTCAGTGCAAAATCTCTCTAGCCCTAAATCTCTTTAGAAGAGTAAGCAAGATTATTATATCTGAAGGGTATAAACAAAAAGAACGAAAGCATATGATTAACATCTCACGATTTAATAATTTTCATAGGAAAATTATTAAAAGTGCAATAAAACGAGACGTTTTACTGTTAAATAATAATCCGAATGAAATACCATGAATCAGTACTGTAGTTTTACCATACCACCATGGTATAACATAACTCTAGAGTTTTAAATCAACACAATAGAAGCACTTTACAAAACAACGAACACACTTCGAAATGTTTTAGTTCGCATAAAGGAATGAATCCGCTTTATGTCAACACAAAATTGTATCTACAAATTAGGATTTTTCAATTGTGATGCCTTCCATGTTGGAGAGTCATCTCGTGAAATCTTGACTCGAACCAAAGAACACCTTAGGTACACGAAGAAACCGTGGAACTGGAAAGACTCCAAATTAAATCGACAATGGCAGTCGATACCACTTTCAATAACCAACAAGTCGCCATTAAAAACATCAAAATAATACATAAAGGCTTTTCCAACTGCAAAGAAGGGTGAATAGCAGAAGCTTTCCACATATTGCTTAATTTTACTGTCCTTAACAGAAAAGAAGGCCTTACTACCCATCCGACGTCGACCATCTCTCCGAGCTACCATGTCTGATTCCTTTCGCATATCATACTATTATCGTACACAAAAGTTCAACTCTTCTTACATATCACAAATGTCATATTTCTTCACCCTTTAACATATATACACACAAATATGGTAATACGCCTCACATAAATCATCTTGACCGGAATGACATGACAATGACTTGATCAGACATGTTTTGACTGATTGCACCAAATATTCTTACTCTGTCCCTTTGTACTATTTAAACTTAGGTTAACTTAATTTTTATAGTTGAAATCATGAGTCAATTAAAGCTAGACTACCATGGAAAACTTGGAAGCACTGGAATGCCGTTTCGTCCTATTGTGGGACTGCTCAGTAGTGTGCATCCACGATCTCGCCTCGCGCGATTCTAACTCAGGACCTACCATCCTCTGCAGAAGCGGCTTGGTGATATCAACAATTTACGGAAAATTACAATTACAAGTCCCAAGAATGAAGTGAACAAAAACTAAGTTTTTAATAAAAATGACTTTGAAAAGAACAACATTTCTAAAGTGCATTGTATACTTGATTAAATTAGTAATATTCTCCACCTTCATAAACCAATAACTCTGATTTGAATCACTAATCCAACACAAAGTAGCACTTTTTTTAAATAGAGACTGGAGAAAAAAGGTGTAGTGTTCCGTAAATAATTCAATCTAGTATTTGTGCTGTTAAACAATAATTGAATAGGTAGGTACTTATTTTTTAAAAATCTTTTCATAACACAAAGACGACTAAACTAGTTAATGTGATCCACGCTTGTATTCGTCCTCCACTACAAGTAGTTTTGTACAGTAGTCTATGCTTTGTAAAGTCGGCATATTTTTATGAGCGCAGCCGACTACAACGATACTTTCCTGATGAAGTCTAACAGTATTGTTTTAAGTCTTTTCAGTTCTCTATAGACTAGTTTGTTTAATTAAGAATGGATTCCGGGGTTTATTTGTTTCAATGATAAATACAATACACTGAAATAGGTCGATTTTTGATGAGAATTCGGGTTTTAGTCAAGTTATCATGAATGCGATAGAAGTGGATTAATTTCTTGATACGTGTGTGTTTACTGAGGGAAAATATTCATAAAAAAGTGGTAAATTATATAGAAAGTTACTAAGTAATTAATTACTGTATTCATAATTACATGCGATCAGTCGTGAAATTAAATCCAAGTATACTAAAGGTTGTAACAAAAAGTTAATATCAAACTAATCACTCAAGATGTACTAAAAAACGACCGATTAAATTTCAGTTTTGAATATTAAAATCTTGAATAGAACAAGCTCCTACGAATGGAGAAACAATGAAATAAGGGGATAGAAAGTATGCGATAAAATTAAGGTCTAGGAAAATTAAAAAGTCAATGCGCCTGTCCTATCAGAAAAGAATTGGATTCATCTTACCTACGGCTTCCAACAATCGATCGTAATTATCTCGAGAACCCCAACCAGATACTCTCCGTCTATGAAGACAGTTCAAACTAATATTCAATGACCTCATCAAGTGAATTGATTTACTCATAACTAATCCCTTATCGAATTGTATAGTTTAGGTTCAAATAGTTAAGTAGTTGTTTACTGAAAGACATTAATATTTGATCGATTTAGTGGCACATTTATTTAAACACCATGTACCAAGTAACCAAAAAATATGCGGGCTTTACGATAGAGTATAAGTGTAAGTCTGTTACTTGCTATTCAATAAGTTAACCTTGAATTGAGCATTAAACATTCAGTACAAATCAATTATATTTTGGTTTCTGAAATGGAATATATCACCGACAAATAACTGAATCTCATTATATTGAGAATATAATGAGGTTGTTATGTTAAGGTTACAACGAGTACACATGCAATGTACTACTCGGTAGATAACCTATGGAGGGACATTATACTTATTGCCAAGTAGTGCCTAGAGTTAGTGGGGAAGATTTGTAGCTCAGATGGATTATTTTGATGGTGTCTAGAGTCTAAGGAGGAACGTGTACCACATTTTGAGTAGTCTAAACCAGTAAACAATTACTGTAAATTGCTGTTAATTTAATCCTGCTGTAACTTACTTCATATAGGCATCTCACTGAATAAAAAGTAAAAACTGGAAGAATTATACATCAGATACTCAGTACGGTTTCTACTATTCCAATTATTCTTAATTAGCGATATCTCTAGCCAATCCAGATAAACACATAAAAATGATAAATTATTGATAGATAAATGTGAGATGGGTATAATTAAATAAAAGAGACTATTTTCTTGAATAATTAAACTTAGTAACGATGATCAGTATTGCTCCGTAGATTATGAAATACAGCATTTGTGTTAGAAATAATGACCATAAAACCGACTGATTCCATAAAGGTGAGGCAATATTTCAGCTTCTGAACTTTAGTTTCAAAATTTAAATCATGAATCCCTGAATTGCGACACTACACAGAATGTGCATTTTATAGAAGAATAATTCTACTTGAATGGTAAAATAAATAAGAGGTAAACGACTGACACATAATTATTCCAGCAATCTTACTAAGATGACATAAGAAATGAAATTATAGCTACCATCCTACAAGCAATTTCGATTATAGCCAATTTTGGTTAAGCCCTTTTTATAACTTACTTAACAGACATCGTTATTTGGATAGTAACAATTCGCATATTTTTTGCACAGCTATACCACTAGAGCACATGACACTCTATCCGAAATGTTGACTGCTTAAATATCATTCGATGACTCATACTCCTCCCCATATATGTACGCACGCAAATATTATTTATTATCAGCCTTTGTTTTGGTTTGCTGTGCCCTTATCAAATCTGACTATAAATTGCCTATGTAATTGCTTGCTATTCGTTCGCTTGCTCCTCGTTCGTTTCCTTCGCTTGTTCGCCTGTTTAATCGCTCTCTCGCTTGCCGCTCACTCGCTCGTTGATATTCGCTCAGGTGTTGTTAACTTTCTGACCTGAGTTATTCGACAATAAACTGTAGTTGCTGCTATCCTTTGTCTCCTGATTTTACGCACCGTTAAGATTAGAATTATAACGGTTATCGAAGTAAACGATTAACGAATCGCGGCACTACAAATTCATATTCACGAAATCTGTCAATTTCTAGTAATTTATAACATCATCCAAATACTCTCCATCAACAAACTGTTCCATCATAGTGTCCTTATAACAGATTTACTCCATAAAGCGTTTCATACATACATACAAACGTAAACATATTAAACCTGGAACTAATTATGTAGGTGCTTCGCAATGATATATTTAATAACGACATGTTATATTTTTTAAATGGAGATTTCGTGGATCGAAGAAAGAAATTAGTAAAATCAGTACTTTTGTGTTATTTTTTAACAAGTTTCAAAAGATAATCAATAATTACGATGTTAAGGCTTTTTTAACCAATTGGTTAATACAGAACAAAAGTTCGAGAAAAATAATACATTGTGCTAAATGATAATACTTACACAACAAAAGCACAGAAAATCAATAAACAGCATGGGTCATAACCACTGTCATTAAGTGTCTTTTTAAATAATTGACAAACTTTTAAGCTTGGAATTCAACATTTTTTTTATCAATTTCTTCACTCATATATAATTAGTATACACCTGAACCTTTGTAAACATTACTTTGAAATATACCTGTTATGTGAAAGCTAAAGATGTTTAAAACGTAAGTAGGTGGGAGCTGAAATCACAGCCTTAACCTAAAAGTTTAACCCATTGAGTTGAGGTGCCATGTTGGTCTGCTTCATACTTCTAGGTCTAATACTTAGCCTATTTTACTTTTGGATTTCCATTATTATTACCGCCTATCTATATTAACAGTCACAGTGTAAACGCGTAGCTCCTTTAATTTTCATTTGTTTTCATTGCTTTGACTGTTATGGACTAACTGACATACTTCTTTTTATCCATTGATTAGTTCGTTAAGCTTTCTAGAGTCAATGGCTTTTCAAAAAATAATTGGACACCTGTTGTTCATTCACAAGTGGATACTTTAAAGCGATACTTTCATGCGATGAAACTATTGACCAATACTGAGCACACATAGAAAAATCCAATATTAAAGTTTTTGAAAAAATATACACAAGAGAAGCTAAGTAACCAATGGCTATAAGTTAGTATTAAGTCTTGTGAACCTTTTCAAGAGGAGGACTCATCAAAGTCGATCACAATCATCCAAATATCGGTCACATTTGAATAAATGGAAAAAACGGAAGTGATAGGACAAAATGAAATGATGTTTATTAACCAGTATACCAACTGAAGTTGAATATTAGGAAAAGATATCTTACTCTTCACTGATAAAGACAACATAGTAGTAATGAAGTCCCCAAATGCCCTGGTATGGCCGAGAGTGGGGAGAGTCACCTCTCCCTCTCGAAATGCTCTCATATGGCCAGCGAATATATAGCCTCTGTCAGGGAAGTCCTACTCACTGCCTTCTCGTGGCGGGGATGTTGCATACGAAAGTGAGAGGACGAAAAGCGAATGTCCGGCGCTTTAACCGGGTTGGTGGACATGGAAAGTTCACCTAGGGGAGTTGGAAAACTCTGATTCCAAACCAATGGTGCACATGGGCTCCACTATCCTGAGGAAACAAATGGCGTACGAATCAACCGTTGATCACCGGCTACCATGGGACTGCATCTCCTTACGATGCTCCACTGTCTTGTGGATCAGACATTCAGGTCAAAGGCTCCGGGTGTGGCCCCCTAAGAAAACCACCTGCTTCAGTCTGGGCACCTGGGCAGTATCACAGCCCTCACACAGATCGAATGAGATTTGTGAGGCGCATATTTATCTGATGCTTCCTTGTACCAATATTTATGTGTTTAAATAAATAAATAAATAAATAAGTAGTAATGAAAAAACTTATAAGTATTAATCAAAAGTGTGGAATGGTTAAAAAAAATTAAGTACAAAACATACTTTTTTCAATGTCTTTACTTGAACGTTGCATAAATAATGTTCTTTTAGTTGGATTTAAAGATGGATCAGCTTCGGTATCTAAAAAATGGATTAGGACAAGAACACTGTCAGTAAGTTATTAGATATGTAACGCGGTGTAGCACAAACTTGTTAATATTCACGACCCAACAAGTACAAAATTTATTTTAAAATAAACAACAATAAATTAACCATAAATAAAAAAACGCTTACTTAAAAGAGTACTAAACGTTCAGAAATAGTCAATCGGAGGCCATGAACCTATGCTTCATAATTAATGGGACACTTTATAATTTTAAGTACAAAACGTCCATTAAGTTGGCATTACCCTTGCTTAGAGTTGGAATCATGTCATTAATTGCAATAGTCGGAAACATTTAAAAATGATTCCTTAAAGTACTAGATCATATCACTGGATAGGTCAGTCGGTTATAAACAATGTAGAATGTGGAACAAGTATGTACTGGTTCAAGTTGTCGCAATTCGCATCAGCATACTGAGTGGAGACTAATAAGGTGAAGATTAAAATAGTGAAAATAACTACCGATACCAAAGCTAAAGTAAACGAAAGAGATATATGTTGAGTAAATTTTATTGGGAACTGAGGTTTAAAGCTTTATTGTTGTCACCGAGTCTCCAGATACCACTAAGACTCTTGATATTTTAATATTTCAATTATTAATAACTAACGGAAAACCTGGTCCAAGTTACACAACGAGAAATAAGCACAATAAATTGCAAAGGAGTCTAAATAATGTATTAGAAATATTAATATGGAAGATTAAACATAGATGTTGTTCGACAAGGGAGAATGAAAAAATATGTATGAAGAAATACTGAAACTCGAGATCTAAAAAAAGGTAAAAAGTGGATGAACCTGGGTCATTCTAACCAATTTTGAGCTACATCATTCAAACTCTCTAAATATTGGTTACAAAAATCACTCGCTTACCAACCAAGCTAGGTAGTCTGCACTTACCAACATGACTCAGTTCAATTGTCCTTGACTTTGTGGACTGATGTCACGTCTTGGTTTGATCACCTCCAGCTTCCCTCTAGACTCCTCCTACATCAATAAACATCACCTAACAAGGCAAATGGCGGTCAAACATACGTAATATGTGTCTCAACAGCTTCAGTTGTGGAAGATTCATAACCTAATTGACTGGTTTCTAATTTTCGCCTAGTATCCTGCTTCGGTCTGGGCACCCGGGCAGTATCACAGCCCACATACAAATCAAATAAAATGAAACGACCTTGCCTAGCACTCTGTGGCTAAACTCGGCATTAAACAGTCGATTATTTTAAAATATACGACCAACGCTTGGAAGATACTAGTAATTTTTTGTCGCACACTTACATATCAATACTCCGAAACATTTCTATTTATTTATTTGAACACATAAATATTGGTACAAAGGGGCACCAGTAAGGGCCACACAGTAATAATGAGAATGTGAAGATATAGAAAATGTGGGGTGCGTATAAGAAAAAAGAAGTACAACAGTGAACAAAAACTAGTGTATGATAGTGAAATAATAATGGGAGGGGCAGATCTATGAGCAAAATTACAGCCACAGGGAATTCTTTCACTTAAAGGGGTTACGTCTACTTTTATGAAGGAAGTAAAAGAAAGTTACAGCATGATGGTTACTGACTTCTATTCTGAACCATGTCTGATAACGCCTCTAGCCACTGTGTTGCACCATCTCTAGGACCACAACTAGGTCGTCGTGAAGGTCCGATAGAAACCAGTCATGTACAGCTTCTTTCATACCAGGACACGAAGTCATACACTGACCTCCTCTCCGCTTTTTCCAATCAGTCCCAGCGTCGACAGATAATGCACGACGAGGAATTCTTTGGGACGACATTCGCAGAACATGTCCTAGCCACCGAAGTCGGTGTTTCAAGATACTAACTTCAATTGAATTATCGTCTCTGTGCCTGAACACACGATGCCGAACCTCTACATTACTAACATGGTGTTGCCACTGGATGTCAGCAACCCTTCGGAGACAATGATGATCAAGCATAGATAGTCGTCTAACATCCTCAACTCGGAGAGTCCAGATTTCACAAGCATAGAGCAAAACTGCTCTCACCGACGCGTTGTAGATCCGACCTTTTACAGACAGACTAACATCACAAAGGCGCCAAAGATGGCCCAGATTGGCATAAGCCGCTCTGACTTTCACTATACGTGAATTGATCTCATCACTCACGTCACCACCAGCACTTACGCAGCTACCCAGATGCGCGAACTTCTCGACTACTTCTATCTGCTCACTACCCAGGGTGAGTGCAGGTTTAGGGTCTTGCCGGTTTTGTAAAAGTACTTATCACTTCTAAGGTGCGAAGCGCATACAGTACCTGCGGACACTGATTGCCAACTGATTAAGTGCGGACTGCATGGCTCGGGTATAATCGCACAATAAGACAATATCATCCGCATACTCAAGGTCAAGAAGTCTTTCTCCAGGCAACAGATCCACATCGCCATTAATTACATTCATCAGAGCTGTTTCGAGAACGTCATCGATTGCAAAGTAGTAAGGGGATGGTGATTTGTAAAGAACCTGTAGAAACCCAGTGGTTATAAGCAGGACATTTCAAAAGGCCGTAGGCGACTTAACTCGCCATTTTCATGACATCATGCAACTGCAGCCAATGCTCGTCTATGCTGTTCAGTGGGCTGGTAGGTAACCCTGAACCTAGCTCGGTTTGATATTAAGTTTCATCAGAAGCTATACCGTCATCTTCACAGATTGTTTCGCTCACACCAGACTTCTTGCTGCCAGTGACTTCAGTGAGTTGAAAGACCTCTCGGTAGTTACCAGATGCAGCTGCTGCTTCCATCTCATTAGCACGCTCAGACCACCACTCTTCTCAGTCCTTGCGCAAGCTCTGCCCAATTCGATTGCGTACATGTCCAAGCCACCGAAGTCGGTGTTTCAAGATACTAACTTCAATTGAATTATCGTCTCTGTGCCTGAACACACGATGCCGAACCTCTACATTACTAACATGGTGTTGCCACTGGATGTCAGCAACCCTTCGGAGACAATGATGATCAAGCATAGATAGTCGTCTAACATCCTCAACTCGGAGAGTCCAGATTTCACAAGCATAGAGCAAAACTGCTCTCACCGACGCGTTGTAGATCCGACCTTTTACAGACAGACTAACATCACAAAGGCGCCAAAGATGGCCCAGATTGACATAAGCCGCTCTGACTTTCACTATACGTGAATTGATCTCATCACTCACGTCACCACCAGCACTTACGCAGCTACCCAGATGCGCGAACTTCTCGACTACTTCTATCTGCTCACTACCCAGGGTGAGTGCAGGTTTAGGGTCTTGCCGGTTTTGTAAAAGTACTTATCACTTCTAAGGTGCGAAGCGCATACCGTACCTGCGGACACTGATTGCCAACTGATTAAGTGCGGACTGCATGGCTCGGGTATAATCGCACAATAAGACAATATGATCCGCATACTCGAGGTCAAGAAGTCTTTCTCCAGGCAACAGATCCACATCGCCATTAATTACATTCATCAGAGCTGTTTCCAGAACGTCGTCGATAGCAAAGTTGAAGAGAAAAGGTGAGATTAGGCAACCCTGCCTAACCCCATTGCTTGAATAGAACAATGGAGAAAGGTGGTTGTATGGCTTCACTCTACCTGAGGTGTTTGTATATAGGGCTTTTAAGATAATAATAAACTTCTCGGTCACAGCCTTATTCAATGGACAATCCCAGAGAACAGTCCTGTCCAACGAATCGAAGACAGCCCTGATATCAAGAAACACTACAATTGTTGGCCTGTGATAAGTATGACGGTGTTCTAACATTTGGCGGAGGGTGAAGATGTGATCAATGCATCCTCGACCAGAATGAAATCCAGCCTGCTCCTCGCGAGTCAGTCTTTCTCGAGTTTAGAACAACCTACGAAGAATGACAGAAGCCAATAGTTTGGACGCAATCGGAAATAGACTTATCTCCCGATAGTTGTTACAGGAACAACGTGAACCCTTTTTAAAGATAGAGACGACTACCGACTCATTCCATGACGTTGGAACGCTCTCTAGCTTCCAGACCTTTGTAAACAACTCAGTCAGTTCCTTAGCCAGAAAGTCACGACCATCTTTAAAAATAGCCGGAAGTAAGTCATCTGGACCCGGTGATTTGTAGCGCTTTAAGAGTTGGATTTCCTTGAGGACTTCCGCCTCATTTAGTGGAGCAGTCGTCGCGGGTCATGGAGGGCAGGACAGTCCAATCGGTGTTGCCAAGGCCGCAGACCAGTTGAACTGCTCCTCGGAAATCTCTGCCCATTATCCAAGACGTCGTTTGATGTTAGTGATTGGTATTCCGTCATCTTCACAGATTGTTTCCCTCACACCAGACTTCTTGCTGCCAGTGACTCGAGTGAGTTGAAAGACCTCTCGGTAGTTACCAGATGCAGCTGCTGCTTCCATCTCATTAGCACGCTCAGACCACCACGCTTCTCAGTCCTTGCGCAAGCTCTGCCCGATTCGATTGCGTAACAGCCTTCGTTTGTAGTCAAACTCACGGTCACCTGGAGTAGATCGACGGGCTTCGATGAGTTGTAAAGAGCCTGAAGAAACCCAGCGGTTATAAGCGGGAAATTTCGCAAAGCCACAAGCGGCTTTACTCGCTATTTTCATGGTGTCATGCAGTTGCAAACAATGCTCATCTATACTTTTCCGTGGAATGCTAGCTAGTCTAGAAGCTAGCTCGGTTTGATACTTAGTTGTAACAGAAGTTGCAACTAATTTACTGACATCAATCCATTTAGGACAGTGTATTTGTTGGCCACTGAAAAGTAAGGTGAGATTGGCGCAAATAAGGGAGTGATCAGAGTCCAAACAGGTACTCCAAAAGGAGGGGCAGTCTTTTACACAATCACGCCAGTGGTAGCTAATCGCGATGTGATCAATCTGAGTCCAGGCTTGAGATGCAGAGAGAGGACCCCAGTTGGCACATCTGCGATGACTGTGCTGGTAGTCAGTGCTAGCCAGAAACAGGTTGTAGTCTG